GATGCTGCCTGGCCTGCTGTGTTCCTCCAGCTCCACACTGTGTTATCTCAGACTCCAGCATCGGCAGTTCTTATTATCCCTCTAGATTTGGACTCGCCCACCCTGGGAAAAAGACCTTGGCCATTCACTCTATCCATGCCCCTCAAGATATTATAAACCTCTATAAGGTCACCTCTCAGCTCCAGAGAAAATACCCCAGCCTATTCAACCTCTCTCTACAGCTTAAACCCTGTAAACCTGGCAACATCCTTTTAAATCTTTTCTGAGCCTTTTCAAGTTTAACAACATCTTTCCTAAAGCAGGGAAACGAGAATTGAATTTTCTCTATCATTTCTTCATAAACATCAATCAATTTAGTGAGACATGATTTCCCACTCACAGTCATATTGACTATCCCCAGTCAGATCTTGCTTTTCCAAATACATATAAATCCTATCCCTCAGAATCCCCTCAAACAAACTACCCACCTCTGATATCAGGCTCATTGATGTATAATTCCCTGGATTTTTACTACCATCTTTCTAAAGTAATGGCACCACATTAGCCGACCTCCAATCTTCTGGCACCTCACCCATGTCTATTGATGATACAAACATATCAGCCTGGCAATCATTTCCCTAGCTTCCCACAAATTTCTGGAATGCACCTGATCAGGTCCCAGGGAATTATCCACCTTTATGTGTTTTAGGATGTCCAGCACTTCATGCTCTGTAATATGGACACTTTTCAGAAAACAGGTCCAGCTAGTCAAGAAATGTCTGAACTACATACACTGGTAGTCAAAATCCAGCCCCTTCCCTCTGTGCTATCCACTTTATCTGAACAAGTGGTTGCTAATTATAATTTGGGATTTTTACCCTAAAATAATTTTAGAATTGACCCTCATTTTAAGAAAGAATACAGTAATACATTATAATATGCAAATTGTAATGCTTTGTTATATTAGGTAGCTATGTAGAGTCTTGACCATTTGAATTTCTGAGAAATATAACGATAGATATTTGAAAAGTACATTGATTTAAGTGATCATTATTTCCTCAGTGTCAATAGCTATCAGTTGTCATGTCATCATTTTATCAGAATAAATTGCATCTAATCTACATAGAATTCTGTCTTCACTGCTTGTCACTAGTCAAAACCCTGGAAAGCCTTGCCTAATGGTGCTGTGTTATCTACACCTCAAGTCTGCAACAGTTCAAGAAGACAGCTTAACCCTGAAATGACTCCATAGAGGCCAGTATCCAGTCACCAAGTCACACTTTATTTATATGTGAAGAGTCCTTGACACTGATCGAGCTTCCTCAGAGCCAGCTCTCAGAGTGAATAGAACTTTTGACACTCCTGTTTACATCTGTCAGCCAGGGCTCCTGGATTGGACCAAATTACGAGCCCCAATCAGGGAAATCATATTCTTTGAAGTCCTCCTGGCTGACCTCATTACAATCATGACAAACCCCACCTTCTGATAGGAATTAGGGATGGGCAATAAATGCTGTCCTAGCCAGATACTAAGAACAAATGAAAAATAATCAATCACTCTATTAATTAATTTTTTTTTACTAAATCAATAATGAACTTATGCTGAAGTATGATAGGCATTGAAATGTGGTAGAAAAGTTTATAACTTATCTCATTATTATAAGATCTCTGACAGTATTGCTTTAAATAAAGTTACCCATACAGTTTTCCCATACATTTTTTTAAGAAAAGAATGCAGCAGCTAAGATTCTAAACTGTGATAACACTGACTTCAATCGAATGAAACAGAGACTGTCCACAGTAACCTCAGTGAGACAATAGAAGATGAGTGGGAGTGGATCATAAAAGAATTTAATATGATGCACCATCAGTTTATACCCTTAAGAGCAACATTTCTATTTATCAAGTAGAAAAGGCCATAGTAAAGAAAAAAGATGAGACAACATAAAGATGGAAGAAAAAGCAAACATGCAAGTAGAGGCACAGATTTTAGTGAATGGGAAAGCCACAAAGAACGGCAAAGGGTGACAAAATAAATAAGGAACGTTACAATATGGGAGCATGAAAATATGTTTAAATGCTTTTAAAAACAACTAATAAAATTCAATAATTATACTTGGAAAACAAGGTCAGAAGAAATGTAGAACCCTTGACAACAATGATGGGCATTTTGCATGATTAATTAGCAGTGGAGTATTTGGAGTGAAATGTTAGCTTACCTGAAATGCAGCCCCCAAAAAATTCTTAACTGGGGGACAGAGATTCACCAAAATAAATGGAGACAAAACAACAATAAAAACTAAAAAAAAGGCACATATGAATGACAAACCCCCAGAACCAGATGGTTTCTATTCTGAAGGTAGGAGGTGAAAATATTAAAGCTGCCCAAAATATTATCTTCTAAAGTTCCCTTGATTTAGGAAGCATTAGTTTAAATTAGATATATGCAAGGGTAACTCCCTAATTTAGTGAGGACCACCAGGGAATTATAGACCAGTTAGTCTATCACCTGTTGTCAGGAAATTGCTCAAGAAAATAATTAAGCACAATTAAGATTCTAGACTAACTTGTTGTTGATGTTGAGTTGACTAAAGTAGTGGTCAGGATAAGGGCTACAATTCTTATTTATATGAACATCCAAAAAGTAAGGGACAATGTTCCACATAAGACATTGTTATTAAGATTTTACATACAAGTTCTAAAGTTAAATTGTTTGCTTGGATGACCAATTGTCTCAAGGTAGGAGACAAATAGTAAGCATAAAAGGTAAATCCACTTAATTGACAGCATGTGGTCGGAGGTGTTTTGCAAAAACCTGTGTCTGGGCTGTATCTATTCAGTGTAGTTATTATTGACTTAAGTGATGGGATAGAAAGCTGATGACCCAAAGGTAGGCATCATTATAAGTGTGACTATCCTTGATATTAAGGTAGCATTTGACCGAATGAGACTTCATGGAGCTCTGGCAAAATTGAAGTCAGTGGGAAACATAGGACAATCTATCTTATTGGACTTATACCTAACAAAAAGGACGACATTCAATGTCATTACCATCACTGAATTACCATTGACATGAAACTGAAGAGAACCAACTTTATAAATACTGCAATTGCGAGAGCAGATCAGAGGTTAAAAATACCATGGTGAATAACTCAACTCCTGTCTCCTCAGTGACTGACCACTATCTACAAGGTAGAAGACAAAAGTGTGATGGAACATGCTCAGTATGGCTAACATGAGATTGAATAACATATAACACAACATGGCCTGCTTTATGCCCACCCACATCCACCACATTCAACATTCATTCCCTTTGCTATCAACAGCGACAATGACAGCAGTGTCCACTTTAAATAAGATGCACTGCAGCAACTCAGCAAGGTTCTCTCACCAACACTTTCCTAACCAATGACCTCTACCATGGAGATGGACAAGAGCAGCAGATCCATGAGAACATCTTCATCTGCAAGTTTTCCTCCAAGCCACACAGCATATTGACTTGGAAGTATATCTGTAAGAAACAAGGACCTTTAATAATTCTCATTGAATTAGTTGACACAGCATAAATGATTCTAAGTAGTCAGGCACCTGCTAATTTACTTTGGCACCCAGTTAAACAATGCCCCGATTTCAAAATTCTTGTTATTGAATCCCTTGTTTGTCTCATTCATTCAAAAATCTTACCTTTACCAATTCTATCATTCTCCTCTGTACTCTTGTAATTCTGTTCTCTTGTGCATCCTCAATTTTCATGATTGGCAGCAAGATTTGCCTGGGCTCTAAGCTCTGCAATTCCGTCCCTAAATTTCTCTTCATTCAAGGAACTCTATAAAACCTATTCTCTTGACCAACTTTAGTTCATATATTAGAATTAATCTTTCTCTGCACCTCCTCTGCAGTTTTAACACTACATCCTGCATTCTGTTCTGATACCCTGATGTATTTATGTAAGGCATAATTTGTCTGGTTAGCATGCAAAACAATACTTTTCACTGTATCTTGATACACGTGACAATGATAAATAAATCAAATCAAATCATTTATTTTCTTTTTTACATGGCCAAGCACAAAATCCTGTGCAATAATACCCTTGTGAAACACCTTGGGATATCTATTTTGTGAAAGGTGTAATAAAAATGAAGTTGTTCTTGCAGATTGATAAGTAAGTAAGTGGACAGACAACATCAATATTATGAATTGCATTGAAAACTAGTTTTAGTCCAATTTTTTTTTACTCTGGCAATTTTCTTTCTTCCAATAAAACAATCAATTCAACGCGATCGGCTATAAAATGAAAAAATAAAGTGCCTCATATCTTTGACTATTTCAAATGCCGTCTTTGCTCATTTATCGTCTTACAGATTGTGAGCTGCTTTAATTTTTTTCACGTTATGCTCTTTATCAATAAGTTAATTTGAAACGACGTTTATAACAGTAGAAATATCAATCACCTTAACCTCATTGGAACGCACCAGTGATTCATATTAAAGTAAACATCGTGCTCCACATTTGCAGGCTTACATTAATATGTCTCTGTTAAATCGTTAGTTAACTTTGTTCTTTTGTTTTGCAATTCAAACTGAATTGAATCGTGCTCCCTTCAATATTTAACTCAATTAGCATTATATTTCCCACTTAATAAACGTTCCGTTAATCATTTCAATTCATGTGCCCGAATTGCTGGCGGGGTCGTGAAGCGGAAAAATACTTCCTTCAAGCAATCAATATATTCGGAAATATTCATCACAATTTAAATACCATGGGCAAAGGAAAAGATCATTGGCCCCAATAAAACGCTTCCCTTCATATTTTTGAGGATCAACTGTTGCGGCCAATCATTCAAACACGACCTTCCAGTTAGTGACAGAGAGACCAGGTCCTAAGGAAGACCATTAAGACTGTTCGCTCTCTTAGCAATCGTATTCTATTGTATGTGCTTAATATTATGTAGGGTGTTGCAATATTCTCGCAGCTGTATAAATATGCCTGGGCTGCCTATCACTGAAGCAGATTGAATTCGCAGTGTTTTAATGCAGTCTACGTGTTAGGTGATTGCGAGAACGTAGATAGCTTTCAAACAACTCGGCAGCTGAACGTTCATTCCTAACTTGCACCCGGCCAGCAAGCAGCTCATGGGAGGCAGCGTAAACTTACTCCCTTCTCTCTGGCTCCAGTTCCACGGCTTCTTCTACTTTTACCGACCAAGCTAAAGTGTACCCAGCCTGCCCCAACTGAGCTGTCCTTGTTGTGACAGCGTTTTCCCCCTGTGCTTGCTGACACGCTGGGAGCTGAGTAATTCCCCCACTTGTCTCCACGTCCTCCAGCGGCGGCTGCTAAAAGGCTACAAATAAGACAACTCCAACTGGAAGGAATGACAGAGCGCGCCTTCCTGACTTGGAGACAAGCCTGATGCTTTGGGTAGAGTCGTGGCCGGTGTACTACACTTTGCCAGGTGCCAGCTAGCCCTGGATTCCCGTCCTGTCCCTGCCATGCCCTTCGGGGCGATGTGTATAATCGTACCGAGCGTCCCTGTGCGCATGAGTCGGACGGTGTTGTTGGATGGAGCTGGCGTTGAAAAGGTGACAACCGCTGTCTACGGGGACGGGTTAACGCTCTCGCTGGCTGTGCATGGCGGAGTAGGAGGGTGTGAGGATTGAGCAGGAGAAACTGGTCGCCCGTGCAGACACTGTCAGAGGCTGCATCGGTCAACAGTGAGCGACATCTGGAGCTTTCAGCTCCCCTCCTCCCTGCATCGTGGACACCTCCGATTTACAGTAGCTTCCTTGGGCAAACGTTGGGGAAAAAACATGGGCTTCGAAGGAGGTTATGAGCGGCGCTGCTGACATTTCAACCGCATCTTTCCGGAGATTAAAAAAAAATCAATGGGCTATGACCTGTTGCTGTAGAGCGACCCTTTGAGAGATGGACTTGGCAGAAGTTCTTGTGGCGCTGTTCATCGCTGTGGTGCTGATTGTCTCCTTGTTGTCCAACCTGTTGGTCTTGATATGCTTCATCTACAGCTCCGACATCCGCAAGCAAGTGCCGGGCATATTTATAGTTAACTTGTCTTTTTGCAACCTGCTTCTCACCGTCCTGAATATGCCAGCTACACTGCTGGGGATTGTCAAAAAACAGCAGCCATTTGACGACTGCATCTGTCAAACAATTGGCTTTGTGGAGACATTCCTCAGCACCAACACTATGCTGAGCATGGCCGCTTTAAGCATCGATAAGTGGATTGCTGTTGTGTTCCCCTTAAGCTACGCCAGTAAGATGAGGTATAAGGATGCTGTGCTCATGATGAGCTATACTTGGGCCCACTCTCTCACTTTCCCGGTCGTGGCGGTTTTCTTTCGCTGGGTCGGCTTCAATAGCAGATACGCCTCGTGTACCCTGCATCTGCGAGAGGAGATGCACAGGAGACAGTTTACAGTCTTCACCATAGTCTTTCACGCCATCAGCTTTATGCTTTCCCTCGTTATACTGTGCTTTACATATCTGAAAGTCTTGAAGGTTGCCCGCTTTCATTGCAGAAGAATAGACATTATCACCATGCAGACCTTGGTTTTACTGGTGGACATCCACCCCAGGTAACTTTTTTTGAGGAGATCCTATTATTAGTTTCAACAGCTTCTCGACAATGTGGGCGCTATAAATTGTTGGAGACCATGCAATGCAGTGTGGGTGCATCAGAATCTATTCCAAGTTCACTGTGTGTTTTGTTTAAAGTTAAGAAAAACACCCGGGTGTCTTAGGCGAGGTTAATTGTCCTGTGTAGCCAATACCATTCCGTCCGGCGTCTTGTTTCCCATGTAGTTTGAGCAATCATATTATCCTACAAAACGGAGGAGGCCATTCGGCCCATTCCCATGCTGGTTAATCTTTGAAAGAACTAGCCAATTCGTGCCTTCTCCTCTCGCTATAGCCCACCATCTCTTTTCCTTTACCAGAACATGTCTAACTCCCTTTGGGAGCTTCCTATTGTCCCTGCTTCTACCAATCTTCGGCATCCCACTGCCAAAGAGCTTCTGGCCCTAACCTCTCCATACCGGAAATCAAAACTTTAGACTTCAATCTTTTATATTAGCGACATTATTTCTGCAGAATGGCAGAACAGGGTCTCAGAGCAGTTTCTTTTTTTTTTGGCTCCCGCTGTAGCGGTGTAGTATTTGATACCATACTTCTGTAAGGAAGAATATTCTATCAACAACTTCCCCAAAATAAAACAAGTTCAGCAAACTATCCTGCTGTAGATCAAGCAGGGTGTTCTGTAGAATATAAAGCAACTTCGTTTTGTAAATTATGGCATTTCTTTGATGCTCGGGAAACTATGAAGGATGATTGGTCTGTGAGAGGTATTACCCACCAACAGGACTTGCTTAGAAACCATGTTATAGTCATGCAACCATTTTCTTATACATTTAATTCCAATTTCTCCTTCTTTGCATCTTCGCGGACTGTTATTTTAAGCAAAACCGAATATTTACTCAAAGCTGAATATTTATTCAAGTGATGTTTGATTAGAGAGCCGGCTATACCTGCTAATTACCTGGGTTGTCTCCTTTCTTCCCATTCAGTGTCAAACAGCGTTGCCTCGCGGAGCAGAAAAGTAGAAGACAGCGGGCAACCAAGAAGATCAGCATTTTTATAGGGTCGTTTATTGTCTGTTTTGCTCCATATATCATAACCAGGTAAAATCAAACAACTTCAACCGCGTCCCCTTTCATGGCTATCCATAGTTTGCCAAATAATTGGGAGGTTCATTGTTGTTTTCTAGTTAGACGTAAATAAGAAATAATGTAAATTCAGGAGATTTAGAAAGAGTCAGGGGGAAAGACGTCTGAGAGTGACAGTGCTCCTACAACTTAAAGTACATGCCCTGTTTGCATCAGTAAGTCCATAGCAGTGTGGAGATAGCCCAGTATAGTAAACAACATTCATTACAACCGAGCTGCTACTGGATTCCGGAACCTATGACCTCCTTGCTTTGTGTTCAGTCCACTCTCCACCCTCCCCTACCCCCACCCTCCATCGTCAACCAGTTTAGAGATAACATACAATTCCTGAAACAAATGAGATTTGAACCGGGACCTCTCAGCTCAGAGATAGGGGCTCTACCACTGCGCCACAAAGGTACACAGAGTGGTCTGTACTGTTAACGCACACAACAGTGCAATAGCAAAAGTCACATGAAACTAGACTCCCATTACGCCATTTACGTGAATCCATCGTCCTGCATTTGGAAATGCCATCCCTAAGATACGTCAGTAACAGTTAAAACAAACTCTGAAACAGCACGACAAAGCAAACACCGCATCATTACATTGTAAAGAGCGAGTACTGCACTCTGCCTCATGCGCGGTAAAATCTGTCATGTGATACAAACAGGTTCGCATGAAACGTTCTGACTTTTACTGCCTGACATTGAGGGTGGTTCGCTGGTAGAATGGACTGCCAGAAGAAGTAATAGATGCAGGTACAGTTACAACGTTTAACATACATTTAGATAGGTACCTGAATAGGAAAGGTTTATAGGGATATGAGCCAAACACAGGCAAATGGGACAAATTAGTTGGGTAAACTTGGTCCGAATGGACGCGTTGGAGCAAGGGTCTGTTTCCGTGTCGTATGAAACTATAACTCTAATATGGCCACCATGTGATTGGAAATAAATATGATGCAAATAGTGCAATGTATAAATGAGTAATTTCAACTACACCAGTGTGTGAGCAATGGGAGACAGGTTCGAGCTTACTGCATGGTGGATCTAAAAGCAGCAAGTTTCACAATACATCCTAGAGTGATGTTTGGACTTTGGTAAATACTTGTAAGGTGTAAATGACGTGCATTTAAAAGCCTTCCAAACTCATAAAGGTTGCACGCATGGATCATGCCTTTCGCATAGCACCAGCGGCCCTCGCCAACTGCAATATGGCCTGCAAACTTTCTTTCAGCCCTTATCAGCATCCAACTCCGACATTCGTGATACATCAACGTAAATTGCAATCCAGTTTGATCCATCCACCCGCCCAAGAACTTCAATTGTTGGGTAGGTCGCTGTCAGAAGCTTATAATAACGTGAGGGGCGGGGGAACTACAGTGAAGCCTGTAAACCGCTGTGCGTTACCACACGGTATGCACTGCATCGCAAGCAAACATGAGCCTACCCTCGGCTGACGTCCACACATAACTGGATAATAGTCCAGACCGCAATGCTTGCTATTTTGGTTCCATTAGGTTCAGAGACTAACGACAGGGTATCCCTGCTGCACGGATAAAAAGATCAGTTAAGTCAGGAAGAGAAGGATTAAAGTGGATTCTTTTGCATGCGGAGGTCGTTTTAACCTAATCCTAGCCTCAATTAAAAAAATACAATTGAGCAGCATGTAAACTAAAACAGGAGATCCAATCCGGTCAGTTTATCAGCAGGTGGGTTACAACTATCCAGCTGTCTCAGTGTCAAACACTACACGACAGTTACCATTCACTCGACGTGCTTTAAATTTTAACTTCTTTTTCATTTGAGGCAACTTTGTGAAGTGTTGTGTTGTGGACAAAACCTCCCTCAGTGTGATAGAAATGTATACTACATCAGTGAAATAAAGCTTCTTACTGGAAATGCATAAGTTAGCTTCCACTGTATAATATTCAGTCTCAAAACACAATCAGATGCCTACCTTGGATTTTCTTACAGGATCATAACAACCTTCCTCTCACCAACAAAGTAACGATCATAGTCCATGAAATATGACCATGCCATCTGAATCAGTTCAAACAAATGTTGACAATCTCTTTTAAGTGCTTCACAAGCATATCAACAAGGCTTCACAATCTTATTGTTCTCACAATGTGGAGCAAGGATGGAACAGCCCAGCAACCTGAGATCTGTGTTACATTCTCCATTCAGCAAGTTGTCCAAGACACTGATAAGAACATACTCCGCACTCATCTCAGTTTGATATTTGACCAATCAAGTTTGGAAACATAGTCTTTGAGTAAGACATGCCTGAACACTAATTTAGATAGTTGTTCATACACTGTGCTGCAGAAATACAAACCAGAACATGTAAGTTGAATTAGTTGACCGTTGCTGTGCTCTGAAGTAAGCTGCAGTGACAGATCGATCATATCCTCATTTTAACGTGGATGCATTAGGGATGAGTACAAATCACAAATCAAATTGAAATCAAAATGTGTTCTACTCCATTTACTTTTGTCAACCAGTATTAAATCTAATTATTGATTTTACCTTTAGCTACACTCTATTCATTTAAGATTGTCAGTTGCATTGTCTATTGCTGATAAAGAACAATTTAAAAAGGCTGAGCATTGCTTTTATCACAGAGACACATGGTAATCATTACAGTGATTTTTTTGCAAAGCGATATTCTGGTTGTTGGCAATCCACAATATAACAGGCTGTCTTTCTTTAAAAAAAATTGTTACAGCAAACCTCTTCAAGTAATGGAAATTGCACGACAATTATGTTTATTTGTGCAAGAAACATGGAATTCATAGAATCCCTACAGTGTGGAAGTAGGCCATTCACCCTATCGAGTCCACACTGAGAGCATCTCACCTGCCCACACCGCCCTACCCTATTGCTGTAACCCTGCATTTCCCATGGCCAATCCACCTAATCTGCACATTTTTGGACTGTGGGAGGAAACCGGAGCACCCAAAGGAAATCCCATGCAAACACAGGGAGAATATGCAAACTCCACACAGACAGTCATCTGAGGGTGGAATCAATCCAGGTCCCTGCCACTGTGAGGCAGCAGTGTTAACCACTGAGCCTCCCTGCCAGCCCTTGAGCCGCCTTAACATAAACTGTGACAGTTTTTTTTAAAGGCTCCCACTGATTAATTAACAATCTTTTTAAATACTGTATTCCACTCTTGCTGTGAAATTGGATGTTACGTTTGAATGAATCAAGTTAAGTATGTGGTCTATTTCATTCATTCAGTTGTGTTCTGGCAAAGGGAAATTTTACTTCTTTCTGGACATTTGGTTGAATGAAAACTGTTGGGGATTTGAGGTTGCTGGAGAATTCAGGCTGTGACCAATAGTCTCATTTTATGACTATTATTTAATCCTCATTTTTATTTCCAAGACTGCAAAATGATAGTGAGGTTAATCAAAAGCATTTCCAACTCTGCTGTCATGTCCACGAGAAACAAATTCATGAGTTTATGAAAGAAACCAGCACAATATTATGTGAGAAACATGTGAGATTATACACATCAGGAAAGACTGAATAGGCTGGGATATATATCCATAAAAGGGTGTCCCAACAAAGGTATTTAAGTTTATCAAAAGGTTAGACATGGTACATATAGAGGAAATGTTTCCATTTGTGGTGCAGCCATGAACTAGAGGCCTATTCAGGTAGGCACCAATTAATCCCATAGAGAAGTCAGGAAAAAATGTGTTTACCTGAAGGTCAGTAAGAATGGGGAGTACCTGCCACAGGTTATGATGAATGGCATAGTTGCATCAACAAGAAGTTTGATAAACACATGTCAGAGGGAGAAATTGGTGGTTAAATGAGAAGAGATGGGAGCAGGCCTATGTTGAACATAAAGACAGGCTGATTAAGCCAAATGGCATTTTTTCACAACTTCAGACTTAGAATCATAGAATTTTAGAGTCCAGAAGGAGACCATTCAACCCATTATGTCTGCACTGGCTCTCAAAAGAGCTACCTAGCTCGTTCCAAGCTCCAGCCCTATCTCTGTAGCCCTCTACATTAATCATCTTCAAATATATATCCAGTTCTCTTTTGAAAACTCCTTGCAATCCGCCACCACTACTTTCCCAGGCAGTGCATTACAAATTCTAACAATCCTCTGAGTAAGTAAGTTTTTCCTCATCTCACTACTCGCTGGCAGTCTTGAAATTGTGACTCCTAGTTACTGACATACCAACAAATGGAAACTGAACATACTTCTTTACCCTGTCAAAATTGTGTATAATTCTGAAGACTTCAATAAGATCACGTCTTAATCTTCTCTGCTCCAAGGAGAATAAGTCCAGTTGCTCTAATCTTTCCTTGTTTCTAAGATCCTTCATTCCTGATATCATTCTCGTAATTCTTATTTGAACTCTTTCCAGGGCTTTAATATCTTCCTTAAGTGAAATGACCAGTAGTGAACACAATACTCCACATGTGGTCTGGCTAATGATTTGTGGAAATTTAGCATCACCTGCTTGCTTTTATACTCTGTGCTTCTATTTATGAACTATTTATAAGGCTCTTATTAGCTGTCTTAGCAATTATTTCAACTAGCAACTATGCCTGGCCACCTTCAGAAAATCATGCACATGAACCCAAAAGTCCCTTTGTTCCTGTACTCCCCTCAAAATTGCATCATTGAGCCTATATTGTCTCTCTATGTTTCTTCTCCTAAAATGCATACCTCACATTTCTCTGGATTGAAATTCATCTGCCAGGTGACCACTCATTTGGCCAGCTTGTCAATGTCCCTTTGAAGTTGCTGAACATCATCTTTACAATTAACTATTCTCCCTAGTTTAGTATCATCTGCAAATTTAAAGATTTTCCCCTCAACACCCATCTCCAAATTGTTTAAGCAAATCACAAAAAGCAAAGGTCCTAATACTGATCTCTGGGGAACAGCAGTTTCAACTCATCTCCAATCTGAGAAATGGCCATTTATACTTACCCTCTGCTTACTTTCTTTTAGTCAACTCCTAATCTATGCTGCCAAGGACTCATCAATCACAAATATTTCCAATTTGCTAATCAACTTGACATTTGGCAGTGTATCAAATGCTTTCTGGAAGTCCAAATATACAATATCCACAGTATTACTCTCATCCTCTGCCATGTCATCTTGTCAAAGAACTCGTTTAAATTTGTCAGACATGACCTGCGCTTGACAAAGCCATGTTGACAGTCTAGTATTAACTTATTTTTCTTTAAATGTATATTTACCTTAGCCCATATCTCAATCAATTTTCCCACTGATTGATGTCAAGCTGACAGTCTGCAATTTCCTGGGTTATCCTCTGCCCGACTTCTTATATGACAGTGTCACATTTGCAATCCTCCAGTCTCTCAGGACTAATCCTGTGTTTAGAGAGGCCTGGAAAATTTTTGTCAACAGCTCTGCAATTTGCTCCCTTACTTCTCTCAGCAATCTAAAGTGCATCTCATCCAGGCCTGGCGACTTCTCTACCTGGAATGCTGCCAGCCTTTTTAGCACTTCTTATCTCAAAATCACACTAATAGTTTAAATTGACTTTTGCTCAATTACTACACAAGCATATTTGCATATTGCTGAATATAAAATCTTGTATGACCCATTGTTATGAAATAATTTAACTTATAACGCATTTAGATTTCGAATATAATAGTTCTTTCTCTTGCATTAATTATTTTTCCTTGATGTCTTTAAAAGATATAACCCACCAATACAGGTGAAAATGTTTTCCTTCCAAAATTTGGCATTTAACAGAATGACTAGAATTGAGCACAATGTTCTAGTTGTGGCTGAACCATAGCTTTAAACATCTCTGCGTAGCTTCCTGCTTTTATCAATACCTCTATTTATGAAGCTCAATATCCCATATGCTTGGCTAACCAATCTGTCAAAACATCCAGCCACCTTCAAGAATTTATGCCCAGAACCCCAATATCTATCTAAAATTTCTTTAGAGCTATATCTTTTAGTCTATACAGCCTCCGCTCATCATTTCCACCAAAATGCATCACTGTACCTTTGCTGTGCTAAATTCCAGCTGCCATATGTTTGCCTATTCTGTGGCCTACCTGGATCCTGCTGCAGCCAATTAATATTTTCTGATTATAAAATAAAACAAGGGGCTGTGGATGCTGGAGATCTGAAGCACCCAAAAACAAAACTTGCTGGAGAAACTAAGCAGGACTGGAAGCAGCTGTGGAGAGAGAAACAGAGTTAACATTTAAGTCCAGTGACCCTCCTGATGTTGTCAGTTCTGGGGCACTCTGCTTTTGATATTTCCTTGCTGTTTGTTGCTCGTCCAAGTTAGGTATCATTATAAACATTTGAAGTTGTAATCTATCTAGCATTGTATATTCAGGTCTTCAGGAAATATTTTTGAATATTTGAAGAAAAAGGAATTTTCAGCAGTTGCATGTCAGTGTCCCTGTACCTCCAAAAATGTTTCTGTTTAAAGGATGTCACAAAGGGCACAGTATGATTATTAGAATCTTATAATAAAATGTGTGAATGAAGGGTATGGTCAGTTGTGAGAGGACCAAGTTCTAGAGCCATGCTTTCTTTAATCAGGACAAAGGTCATGGGAAACAAGTTGGGCTGGGCAGAATTTGTGTTTGAAATTCCATGATCCGTATCTAATAGTGGCAAGGCTGGTTTCCGATGTATGTCATTGAAAACTCCAGAACAACTTGATGTACCTAAATACAGTGAAAAGTGTTGTTTTGTGTGCTATACAATCAGATGGTACCATGCAAAGTGCATCAGGGTAACAGAACAGAGTACAGAATACAGTGTTACAGCCTCACAGAAGGTGCAAAGCGAGAGAGAGATCAGAATTAACATTTGAGAGGTCCCTTCAAAAATCTGATAACAGCAAAGAAGAAGCAGTTCTTGAATCTACTTGTACGTGCATTCAAACTTTTATATCTTCTGCCCCACTGAATAGGGCATAGCCGGGATGGGAGGGGCACAAATGGTCTACTTTCGCTAAAATAAAAACGATGACCAGAAGAGTTCCTTACACAGCCAGAACCGGGCGCATCTTTAGTGAAGCCAGTGTGGTCCTCACGTTTCCTGCTAAGAACCGGAAAAGGCCCACATGCATTTTATTTTCGGTGCACTATGTAGGTGTCGTTAAAACAACGAGATACACGGGTTTTCTTGAGGATGCTGGAATCTCCAACTTGGTGAATGCAGTGTTGTATAAACCCTGAAGGATAGCACTGTGTATAGAATATCGCTAGTGTGTTCCTCTGACACTTGTTGGGAATTCTGTTCCATCTCCGGACTGGATAGCGAAGACTGGGTTGACCGCGGAGTGGGTGGGGGCGGCGAACGGGTGAAGGAAGCCTCAGGGAGCTGTGTACAAACGGAGCACGTTGAAGTTTCAGAGCTGTACAAAAGAGCCGGTCAGCAAGCATCAGGTCCTTTCAGCTTAACATTACCATGTCTGGTTAGAACCGATGCAACTTTTAGATTACTTATCATGAGCAGACCCTCCATAAACTGATAAATTGATGTTTGCATCTACATACGTAGGGGAGACAGATTACTTTGTTGAAAAATTAAAAGTTACAGCGCCTTCTCCAAATTAGGAAGCTGATATGGGCACCTACTGTTTGGTGAAGGAACTGGAAGGGGAAACACCGGTATGGGTCCGCAAGTACTGGAGAAACTCAGCAGATCTGGCAGCATCTGCGGACAGAGAAAGCGAGTTAATGTTTCAAGTCCGGTATAACTCCTCATTAGAACTAGGATTCCCAGCAACAATCATGTTGGAATCAAATATTAATTCAGTTGCTGTCTCCACACATGCTACCAAATAGAGAGAAACTAAGTTAATATTTGAATCCAACATAACCCTTCCCGGGAATCCTATTTCTAAAGAAGATTTATGCCGGACTTGAAACATTAACTCAGTGCCTGTCTCCACAGATGCTGTCAGACCTACCGAGCATTTCAAGTACTATCTGGTTTGTATTTCAGATTTCCAGCATCTTCTGTGCGCCTTTCTCATATTCTAATACAAATCAATTTATTCCAATAGCCCCTTTGTATGCTGGAAGTCATGTAATGGGAGATAGCTGAATTGGTCGGTGTATACTGTAGTTCTGTAGACCATCATTAATAAAGCGCCTTTGGTTTTCTGTCCCTCCCACCCACACACACAGGTTGATAGAACTACTTCCCTTTGTCACCATTAACTACTACTGGGGAGTTCTGAGTAAGTGCCTCGCCTACTCCAAAGCTGCTTCGGATCCTTTCGTATATTCGCTGCTGCGCCAACAATACAAGAAAGTCCTGGTCAACATAGTCAACCGGATACTCAGAAAGGATTTCTACCCGTCCTCTGGCCACAACAGTTCCCTGGACACAGAGAACGATTACTGCCTGCAGAGGGTCTGAGCCGCGCCTTGAACTCTCCCCTCGCCCCAATTGTAAGTGAAAGCTCCGCCAAATCCGAGAAGACTACATGCACTTTCTGACCATTCCAGTGTTAGGAGGGACACTATAAGAGCCAAAGGCAAATCCGTCTTTTTATGATATGAAATATTTTATTGAAAGAATGTATTATGGTTCGAGTTTCTGTCGTTTATCCGTAAATATTTGTATTTTCGCAGTTTTGTGCAAATTATTATCAAGCTTGAGTATTTATATATATAGAGAGAGAGAGGTGTTCACACTGTATCTCTTAAACTTTGTTAAGGCTTTCTATAGAGCGGTTAGAAAATGAAGAATAAGATGTCATTTAGTAACTATGTGCCAAAATAAAAAGTTAAAGCATCCTGTTTGAAGCAGCAAGCAACAAAGCGGATCCACGTTAAAGATGGAGACAACTCCAACAAATCATTTGTGTTCAACGGTATTCCCAACGTGCGCTCAAAACCCGCCGATTTAGAGTAGATTTCCGGGCGGAACCCGCTGTGAGATTAGTACTAAACTTGTTGAACCTTCGATGTGACAGATGATTGAAACAATAAAAAAAACAAACGTTTCACGGGACCACTTGGTGTGTCGGACGGAATTTTATTTGAACTCGAGTCTGTCTTTTGGAGAAATAATCGGCAAACAACAAAAAATTGAAGGGACTGCAAACGGATCGTAACTCCAGCCGACGTGTAACTAACTATACATTTCACAATAGAGTGATGGGTTTCTATGACCAGTGCTCACATTTCCACCCAGATTTAACTTGAGACTTCCCTCTCTTGTACTTTAGCCGATTGTAATCATACCTCCACGTGGCAATACGGTAATCTGATATCGCGCCGTATTTCTTATAAAACATGCACGTTGCCTTTCAGATGCTATTCCGCAAGGGTGCACAAATATAACTCAAGCCTATCGCCCAGTGCCATTTATCAGAGAACAGTGCCCAGTAACGGAGTGAAATGAAGCCGCTAGCGTCTGCTCTGGCGGTCCTTTTGGTGACCCTGGTGCGCTGTGCCCCTCCACGGTGTGAGCCCGGGGATCAAGCACAAGGTAAGAAAGCAGTCGGTGCCTGCATGTCTCATTTAACACGGCACCCCGGGACGTGATTCACTCACTTCTGAGCCTGCTGCTTCACCGCACCGCACCTTTCATCCCCCCGCCCCGCATCCCTGGATGCTTTTGAAAGAATTTGCTCGCTACATCCTGCGCTCTGATGCTGTGGTCTGTAATATCAGACTTTTTATTCCGTCTGCACCAGGCAGACAGCTCTGGATTTGAACCATATTCATTTGCTCCCTGAGGCTATAGTATGGTATACAAAAAAAATGCAACCGCCAAAGTGGAAATTCGTTGAGATACGCAAATGCTTTAAACGTTTAGAGTTTGCACATTAGTCCGCAAGATGACTTTTTTGAAAAAAAAGTGTGCTTGGGCGTCTGTGTCTTCGTGGCGATTTTGTAACACTGGAGCGCGCAAAAAAATCGTCAAAGAAACCTTTAGTGTTGCCACGACCCCACCCCCCCCCCCCCCCCAAAAAATTGCCATTTATTTTTAGAGGGCACACCGACTGGATCCTGAAGTCACCGTATCCCCACCGCTGAGGTTCGCTTTAACAGTAAAACATTTCCCTCTTCAGTCCGTGGCCACATCTGCCCCGCACACTCACAGGCACATGTGTGCTGTATCTAACCGAGTGAGAGAGAGTGAGTGAGCACTCTCGTGACTGCTTCCACCAGATGCTCACAGGCTGCTGAAGAAATGAGTTGAAGTTTCTCAGAGACCCCTGTCAGTATTGAAGCCAGGACTGGTTCAGACAAACTCCTGAAACCAGAATTGGTTTCAATTCCAATGGGAAGGATTGAATTCACTACAGTCTATCTTACTGATTGTCTCACTTCCACGTTACTTTGGAAACCTGAAGTGGAGTCAACCATTGTAGAACAGCAAAGACCATGTTTATTGTTGCTGAAACAAAAACCATTTCTGTGTTTGTTTCTGACTTACAACATCCGCGGTTCTTTCGGTTTTTATTTATCGTTCCCGAATTCCTTTTGTATAATCTAAAAGTACATTGCCACTTTGGATAAAAGTACAAACATATCGGGTCCCACGCGAATTCCTTGTTTTGTTTTTCAGCAAAACTGATACTTTTCGGCTCTGCTCAAAGGCAGAGAAAGATTTTCGAAAGCATGAAGACAAAGCGAAATGTACAAATGACATTTTTAGTTCCGAGCCAAAATTGAGATTTCGGTTCTGCTTCGGTCCGTGAAGACAGTCAAAAATCTCAACAACGCTGCCTTTTGTTCGTTTGCCCACTTTGTCAGGCTTGAACAGAAGTCTCTGATGCCACCTAGTGCCTTCATGGTAAAACGAAATAATGTCAGGATTAAACACAGCACTCATTTAATTATCCCACTGACTAAACGATAAATCAGCATTGATCGGGAACAAAAAAAGGAAAACGCTGAAAATGCTCTGTAGGTTGGCAGCGGCTGTGGGAGAGAGACACCCCAATTCTAACTGCCCAAGTGAGCTGGGACTGAGTTCAAGCAAAAAAGATGATGACACAAATCCAGTGTCCTCACTCTCCACTTCACTGTTCAAAATTAAGTGAGGAGTGGAATCATTTTGGTGTCTAAGCCCACACTGACTGGGTGGGTTCTGATGATACAAACTGAAATAACTCCACAGAGGCCAGTAGCTTATCACCGGTCACCCTTTATTTACACGTACATAGCACGTGACTTTCACAGTTAGCCCAGAACTGGCTCCTAGACTGAACAGAAACTGCGACGCTCCTGTTTATGTCTGTCAGCCAGGGCTCCCTGATTGGACCAGGTTAACACCCTTAATCAGGGAACTCATATTCTATAAGGCCCACCTGGCCGACCTCATTCCAATCACTACATCTCTCTCCCTCTAAGTCCTGGGATGTAGGCCCATTCTTTTTCCTGTAGATTCTCCTAGAGCGTTTTTACACCAGGTCTGGTTCCGCCGACTCTGCCTCAGATACTAGCAGCATGTACCGCCTCTCGCACCCAAAGTGTCTTGGCCGAAATTCATCTTTTCCTTCAGGCACTAACAACATCAAGGCTGCGACGTCTGACGTGCCCATCTCATCGTCAGAAGTTTCTTTGATGCTAGGCTGAGGGGAGGAGCCAACGGGGTGTGTCCAGAACTAGGAGTCACAGTCTGAGGATTTGGGGTAGACCATTTAGGACGGAGATGAGGAGACATTTTTTCACCCAAAGAGTGGTGAGCCTGTGGAATTCATTATCGCAGGAAGTAATTGATGCCAAAACATTGAATGTGTTCAAGAGATGGCTAGATAGAGCACTTGGGGTGAATGAATCAAAGGTTATGGGGAGAAGGCAGGATTAGGCTATTGAGTTGTATGATCAGCCATGATCGTGATGAATGGTGGAGCAGGCTCAAAGGGCTGAATGGCCTCCTCCTGCTCCTATCTTCTATGTTTTTATGTTTCTACGTTCTGACAGCCTTGCTGAGGTCGGGGATATTTTGTTCTTACTCCATTTGCAAGGTTGCAGCTTTCTTGTAATTTATGTACTTGCTAAAGTAATTTATGTACTGTCCTACCAAAGCTTCGTATGTCACGGCACCTGACCTTGTGTCAACTATGCCTTTTACCCATGCAGAGCCATTCAAACATCATCCCCTGAAGTAAACTGCCTCTCTTGCCCAGAGGAGTCTTGTGTCCAGCACTCACATTCCTGATGTCATTTCACCCTTGCCCCCAGGTCCAGGAAGATCAGGTTTAACCTAGTACGGAGTCTTCTCCACATCAGCAACACTGCTGGAGTTGTCCCTGTAGTTGCGTGAGGGGTGGTGCTATAATCACTCAGGAACCGAGACAGATTGGTAGTGAGTGAAGCTGTAGGCTGTTTCTTCAAGCCTGCCTTCAATGTTTGGACTGCTTCTTCTGCCAAACCATTGGACGATGGATGGTGTGGAACTATTCTTACATGCCAAATGCCATTCGACTTTAGGAAATACTTGAATTCCCCGCTGGTAAATGATAGCTGGCTGTCTGTGACCAACACCTCTAAGATTCTGTATGTTGCAAAAGATGCTCACAGCTTTTCCATCGTTGTCACAGTGGATCAGCATCTTAGATAAGAACAGCTGTTTCTTCACTTCTCTAAAGGCTGTGTCTTGGTTACAAGACCGTTTCCAAGGCTGACTCTTTCTCAAAAGCAGAAGTAAAGGTGCCAGGATGGAGGCCAGGTTACATATGAATTTTCCACAATAATTAACCAACCCAAGGAAAGACCTAAGCTCCATACAGATGTGGAAGCCGGAATAACTTTGATCACTCTCACTTTACCTTCCAAAGTGTGTAACCTGTTCTTGTTGACCCAACAGCACAAATAGGTCACCCAACTTGGAGAAACATAGGACATAAAGAACATGAGAACCAGGGGCAGGAGTATGCCATCTGGCCCTTCGAGCCGGCTCAACCATTCAATAAGATCATGGCTGATCTTTTCATGGCCTCCGTTCCACTTACCCACCTTCTCACCATTACCCTTAATTCATTTACCATTCAAAAAATTATCTATCTTAGCTTTAAAAACATTCAGTGAGGAAGCCTAAACTACTTCACTGGGCAGGGAATTCCACAGATTCACAACTCTTTGGGTGAAGAAGTTCCTCCTCAATTCAGTCCTAAATCTGCTCCCCCTAATTTTGAGGCAATGCCCTTTTCTTCTAGTTTCAGCGGCCAATGGAAACATCCTCCTTGCTTCTATCTTGTCTATTCCTTTCATAATTTTATGTGTTTCTATAAGATCCCTCCTCATTCTTCTAAATCCCAATGAATATAATCCCAGTCTACTCAGTCTCTCCTCATAAGCCAACACTCTCAACTCCAGAATCAACCTAGTGAATCTCCTCTGCACATCCTTCAGTGCCAGTACATCCTTTCCCAAGTAAGGACACCAAAACTATACACAGTACTCCAGGTGTGGCCTCACTAGCACCCTATACAGCTGTAACATAACCTCCCCGTTTTTAAACTCAATTCCTCCAGCAATGAAGAACAAAATTCCATTTGCTTTCTTAATTGCGTGTTGCACCTGCAATTCATGCACAAGGGCACCCAGGACCTTCTGCACAGCATCATGCTGCAAATTTTTACCATTCACATAATAGTCCTTTTTTCTATTAGTCCTGTCAAAATGGATGACTTCACATTTATCAACATTGTACTCCATCTGCTGACCTTTGCCCACTCACTTGAACTATGTATATCCCTCTGCAGAATTTGAGAGTTCTCTGCATACTTTGCTCTATGTGTAAACACCATGTCCAAGTTCTCTAAATGCTCCTTATTGGTCTTCTCTGTTATTAGCACGTCATCCAGATAAATGGTGACAAGGGGTAGAACTTGTAAAATGTTCTCCATCATATGGTGGAAAAGAGCATAATCTGATGATATCCCAAATGGCAGTCTCCTATGTTGGTACAAACCCCTATGGGTATTAATTGTATACATCTGGGAATCCTCACCTAATTGCAGTCATAAATAATCATGGCTCATGTCCAGCTTCAAGAAGGACAGCCCCCCCGCCAGTTTTGCATATAAATCCACTGTACAAGGATTTGGGTATTTATCCAGCTGCAAAAAGCAGTTTACCGTTTCTTTGAAATCCTCACAAAGGCGAATCAACCCATCAAGCTTCACAATCGGTATGACCAGTGCTGCCTATTCTACTAATGGGACAGGTTTGATGATTCTTTTGCTTTCCAGCCTCCTGTTTTCTACCTTTACTTTTGTACACAAGGCAAATGGCACTGGGTGGGCCTTGCAGAATCATGGAATTGCTTCCTGGTCAACATGCAAGGTGGCCTTGGCTCTGCTGATAATCCCTACACCTTCCTGAAAAATACTATCGAGTATTTAATTTAGGATGTCGCTCAGGCAGCCATTTTCTAATCAAAAAATGTGGAGCAAATCAAACTGAATCTTTCTCAAACAATTTTACCCCATCAAGCTTGGGCCTGAGCTTTTTAATACAATCAGTGATAAC